TGCTGGTGTTATAATATTAGTACTTTATCATAAAATTATTTTGTTTCAGGTAATATATTCTGCTAGTGACTAACAGTTTCGAAACTAAGTAAGTACCAAATCGAAATTTTCATGAACTTATCAAGATCATTGAAATGAAAGAAAACATCGCTGGAAAACCTGAACTTGTTAAATAAAAATCTAAGTTTGAAGTCGCCAATCGGCCTCGACCAGGCTGGTGATTAATGCTAATTCCATCTTTGCATAACAAATTTCTTTTCCTCTACCTCAAACTAGGTTGATTATTTACCGTAAGGTTGATAAGTAAAATTACATATTTCTCAAAAAGAACTAAAAGAGTTAAGGTTTCAAGAAATTTTAAGAAAATGAAAAAAAAATAAAACTATAAAATACATAATGCTAGTCGTATATTCATTAAAAAAAGGAATTTATGCATTTGATGAGATCCAAGAAGTGTAACGGGATACACGAGCGTTGATACCAGGGAAGTTAGCTTGACCACATCCATTGCCGAAGGAGCAAACACCAACAACGATACCATTATGGTAGAGAGGACCACCAGAATCACGCTGGCACTGGTCACGACCACCAGAGGGCCAGCCAGAGCACAACATGTTGTCGTTAACATTAAAGCCAACACCAGCGTAGTTGTTTCTGCAAGTGTTCTGGTTGATAACCACTAACTGGACGTGACGTAGCTGTTCAGAGCCGGCGCCAGAACCGAACTATGAAGCAAAGAGAGAAAAATAAATTAACAGAACGAAAATACAAATGAGTCCATTTTCAGTTCAATCAAGACCGTTATAAAGTAACTCACGAAAGTGTCGCCCCATCCAGCAGCCCAGACAGCTTGATTGTCACTAGGCCAGTAGTTGGCACCAGCGATGGAGGCAGCGCGGACATTGTTGTTGAAGGAGAAGGTGGAGGCGGAACGGAGGATGGCGATGTCACTATCGAAAGTCCAGGTGTTGTATGACCCGTGGATGATGTTCTGGTTAACATTGTGAAGAACACCACCACTGCTACGGAAGGACGAGCCCAGGCGGAGTCTAAATCTGTTAGCACCATAGCCTCTGTGAAAATAAAAACAATGAATGAATCTGATAATCCGAGTAAGAGTAGATACATTAATACATAAAAAATACATTATTCTTGGCTATAATAAGTTGAAGTCCCTGATCATTGTATGTACAAAATCAGTCAATAATTACATCAATAATTCACTTGTATAGCAATACTTGTTGGAATACTGTTGCTTAAACCACTGTTAAGGATATGTTTGTTTATAGTAAAAAATCTAATCAACGAACTTGTTAAAGTTGACAAATTAAATATTTATTTAATAATTTTTTTACTTACGTTGTACAATGAGCAGCAGTGAGAATGGATCGATTGTTTAAAATAGTACCGCCGCATGTGTGCATGAAATTTACCCAATCATGTGTAATTAAGATTGCAGCAATTGTAGGATACCGATCTATGGTGACGACCGACCCACCCACAATCCTCTGAGGGTCGGAGGGGACCGCTAAAATGATAAAAATATTCAAATTATACAACAACAAAAAAAAACGTAGTAACAGTTTAAAAATATGAAGATTGATAGCAATCAAAATTATCAAATCATAGAGATATACATGACAGACATACCTGCGACGGCCACAAAGCAAAGGGCTATCAAAGCGAGAATACGCATTGTGCTAATTACTCCACCACGAATGTTGCAATCAGAGCCACACATATCGTATTTATAGAATTACAAACATTCATCACACACAGATAAAATAGTGGTAAACGTTGCCAATTCTTTAGAGCGAAATAAAGAAGTTTACTCAATGGTTTCAAAATTATATCTATAAAATAAATCACATTATCTACAACGTTCTTTACAATTTTTAATTTAGCTATCGGGTACAACGGTAGTTTCCATAAGCGTACGGGAATAAAACCCGAGACCTCTTGCCTTGCCCGACCATTCACACTAGCAACCAGTCTGCCAACGAGGCAGTAGGTTATACACAATTAATAGTTATCCTTTATTTGTATAAAAATCAATACACCTACCTCATCAGTAGGTAATAATTAGGAGCTACAAAAGTTCTTTTTGCGAACGCAAAACCTATCTGTCATTAATGTTCAGTCGAAGCTCGGAGACTAAATATGCAGACCTACACAATAATTATGTATTAACGTCCGACAACTCTACCGTCCTTATAACAATACTCGATAATTGAAATAAATACAATGAAACTACTCCTTTATAAACAAAAAATAATACATACCAAAATTATAAAATTATTTAATTTTTATCTATTAATCACATTTTCATATCTGTAATGTGTTTTTATTACAATAAAATACTATCATATGATCCACAAAAAACCTTGATTGATTGATGACGACATTCTAAGCTTATTATTAATAGGTAATGTAGATAGGTAATTGTATGACTAGAGTAAGTATAGGTGCTCGTATAGCTAGGCTTTTTAGTCAGTAAGAGTCTGACACTCCCTCTCGCCTCACCCAGGCGGGAGAAAACATTTGATTGACTTTCCACCCTCAAAAAACGGGGTAAGTATAGAAGAAAGATAATTGTATAGGAACCGTTATTTAAATTATCAAACACAATCTTAGCATGAATACTTGGGCTCTTTAACATCAATTGGATGTAATAAAACAAGCATCTAAAAATCAGTCAATTTATTGAGATGCAACACCTTTAAGCGTTTGATGAAGTCCAAGATGTGTAATGAGTTACACGAACGTTGATACTGGGGTAGGTACCTAGCATCAGCATGGTTGTCAACGACGTTATAATTATAGCCAGCGATGGAACCAGCGCGGACATTGTTATTAAAGATAAAAACAGTAGCAGAGCGGAGAATGGCAATACCATTGTCCATGGTCCATGAGTTGTACGGAGGGTGGATGATATTCAAGTTAACGTTGTGAACAACACCACCACAGCTCTGAAAAGAAAAAAATACGCGAATTCTAAACTCGCCAGGCGCATTACCACTGTTATAATAATATTCAAAAAAATCTATTCATATCCAAATAGATTTTCAAAACATTGATGACAAATCAAAAGATAAGTTCACTTAAAATATGAATGGTAAGACTACTTACTCAGCACAATGAATTGCAATAGGGACAGATCGATTGTTTGCAATGATACTTCCACAAAAGTGGATATAGTTGATCCTACTAACTACACATGGCAGACACACTGACCCTTTATTTATGAAAGTGTTAACCGCAGGGAAATATTTCAACTAAAGACTCTAGTTCTAGTTCTAGTTCTGTAGTTGACCCAGTCAAACGCTAACAGGAGTGCACCTCTGGGAGGTACTGGTCTCTCGTAGTGACTGAACCACGCACAATTCTGTCCACAAGTGGGGATCGCTAAAAGAAAAAAATGCATTTAATTGCTAAAATTTTCAAAATGATGGTTAACAGGCATATTTTTGGTATAATTATAGCCAGTTCTTTATTTATTATTCAAACAAAACTGTTAAAAACTCACTAATTTAATTACTTACCTGCAACGGTCGCGAAACAAAAGCCTACCACAGCAAGTGTCCTCATATTGCCAATAACTCCAACATAAATATTGTAATCAGTACAAATTTGACCGTATTTATATCAAAAACGATACATTCATACATTGACTATCAAGCACTCGTAATGTGAAGATAAAGCATGTGATTATTTCACAAACGATTCTGAAATGATCTAAAGAAGTTTACTCATTATTTTGAATAAAATCTTGCTGGTAATACAGGATATAACTAAGTATAGAGTTCAAATTTTGGTTAACGGTAGAATTTGATTTAAACGTCTCTTAATTCAGAATACTAAAGCGATAATTAAGTGTATCTGTGAGATTTTATACATAACAATTTAATTTTTATAGTCACCTCATATTGTAAGTGTACCCATATAAGAAAATTGTTATGTAAGATCACGTATAAGTAAGCCTACAAAATTGTAACCGTTAGTTCGCAATATAAGCTTGTTACAAATTGACTTTTCTTTAACTCGGTCAGATATTGTGTTACGCTTTCGTCTTAATCTGTCTTCTTCGTGTGAACCGATACCGTTCCGCCATGACCGCACGTTTCAGTTGTAGGTAATAATTTTTCAAAATTATAACGACTTCTTGGTTCGTTAAAACGTTTTTTCAGATTGCAAAGCGTGCTCAGTAATTCGTACGTCTCATCTCACACGCCTGTGACCAGCATAGGAAGCCACATGTCCTTCTCGACCTTATTGACCTCGAAGAACATTTAAAACGCACCTCGTGCAATGTCTAGTTACCTGACTTCACGTCAAAATCGCGAATATTTCCGACTTTGTTGACTGACATTTTCTTCAAATAATTGCAGACGAACTTCAATGATTCGCACCAATAGTGATCCTCACCGCCACTGAAGTGACGGCAGTAACAAATAAGAAACGTCAACTTGTGGCAAGTTAAGTTATTACGAACTAACGGTTACAATTCTGTAGGCTTATTTATACGTGATCTTGCATAACAATTTTCTTATATGGGTACACCTAAATATATATATACCTCTAAAATGAATGAATTCAGTCCCTTATAATTACGATATAGATATAATTTGAATTAATATTTTTTATCAGTATTCAATAATAATGTTATGAGACATCCTAAATGTTATTTTCATACAAGAACATTATCGCGACCAAAACAGTGATTATCAAAAAATGTAAAAACCAAATTGATTGATGACGATACCTGTTTAAGATTATTTAGAATGGGGATTTCTTTCTTTAAATAGAACTAATCTATACATAATTAATAATCAAATAGGAAAGTTGCCTTAGCACTTTGAACCAATATTAAAATGTAAAGAAATACAAATAAAAATGAAAAACATTTCCTAAGCATCGTAAACAAAAAATATAATAAAAGAAAATATAAACAAAATTATAGAATAAAGACATCAAGACATTAAATAAAATGATTAAATTTAAATTTCATATGACATTTATTATTAAAACAAACCAGTCTTATGCATTAGCAGAGATCCAAGATGAGAAACGGGATACACGAGCGCTAACACCTGCATAATTAGGATCAGCACATCGCATGCCAAAGGAGGTGACACCAACAACGACCCCATTATGATACAATGGACCACCAGAGTCACGTTGGCAAGTATCACGCCCACCGTTGGGCCAGCCAGAACATATCATGTTGTCGTTAACTGAGTAGAAAGAATTTTCGTACTGACGTCTGCATATCTCCTGGTTGATAACTACCATCTGAACGTGACGGAGTTGCTCAGAGCCCGCACTGGAACCAGACTGAAATAAAATAAAAAACAAATTATATTAAATTTATTATTTATATTCTACTTAATACAACAAATGTGCATTGGCAGACCTATAGCCTTGGGCATTGTCTCCAAGACAACCTTTAAGTAGTGTAGAGATGATTATATAATTTTTGTAATGGTTAAAAAAGATGACGACGTGACCATTTTGAAAACTCATGTAAATATATTTAAAAAAACTTACGTAAGTGTCGCCCCATCCAGCAGCCCAGACAGCTTGGTTGTCAGCGGGGAAGTAGTTGGCACCAGCGATGGAGGCAGCGCGGACATTGTTGTTGAAGGAGAAAGCGGTTGCGGAGCGAAGGATAGCAATATCACTATCCATAGTTCTAGAGCTGTATGCAGGGTGGAGGATGTTCAAATTAACATTATGGACAACACCGCCACTGCTTCGGAAAGAAGAACCTACGCGGATTCTAAACCTGCCAGCTGCTTCATTCCTGTAAATGAAATGAACTTATGAACATGAGTGTTTTTAATTCAAACAAAAAATAAATTGTTCACTTAGTTTTCTCAGACGTTTAATCTGACGTTTCTAAATTACATTCTCAGGCCAATTACAAACGAACACAAAACGATAAATTAGACAAGTAATTCTAAGATTACTTACTCGATGCAGTGAGCGGCAGTGAGCACGGATCGGTTATTAATAATGATGCTACCACAGGTGTGATGGGAATTGATCCAATCAAACGCATACAGGAGTGCAGCGATTGTGGGATACTGGTCGATTGTTGTGACTGAACCACCCACTATTCTCTGACCACCGGTGGGGACAGCTGGAAAGAAAAAAAATAAAACCGTCACAAACACGTTTTAACCGAAGGTAATAAATAATACGGCACTATTCCCCATGTGTTGTCTTCACTTACCCGCAGCGGTCGCTAGGCAAAGGGCTACTAAGCCAATAATATGCATTGTGATATTGCTCCACCACGAATGTTGTAATCAGTGCTCCGTGGTCCGTATTTATAACAATATCACTATTGACTATCAAACATTCAAATGTAGAGATAAAAGGTACGATTATCTCATTAACGATTCTGAATTGACCTAAAGCTGTTTACTCATTGCTTTAAAATCAAATACAACGTGATATCAAGAACGTTTTAACGTCCCGAATTAAAATGGTTCTGTCTCGGTAATACAAATAAATAAAATGCTTAAAACAAAAAACTAATTGATTTACCATTGCAAAAAGCAAACTTCGAAAACGCATACGAACTCATAGTAACTAAGTAGTAACATTATCAAAGCATCACGCCATATTTTTTTTATGGAATAAGCCGCTAAACGATCAGACGGATCACCTGATGGTAAGCAATCGGCGTCGCCCATGGACACCTGGAACACAAGAGGCATTACAAGTACGTTACCGGATTTTGAGGATTAAGAGTTTGAGGATCGATGGGGATTCAGGGATTGGGGAGATTGGGAAAGGGGAGGGTAATTGGGCCTCCGATAACCTTACTCACACGACGAAATACAACGCAAGCGTTGCTTCACGTCGGTTTTCTGTGAGGCCGTGGTATCACTCCGGTCGAGCCGGCCCATTCTTGCCGAAGCATGGCTTTCCCACACTTTCGACAATATGTAATTTTCGAAGAGGTGTTTCTTATCGAGTGGCACGAGCGATGCGAAAAGTGCCTACAAAGTTACGTCTAGTGTTTCACGTGCGTATTTCTATGAAAGTTTCTAACCAAAATAAAAAAAATAATAATATTTATATTTTTCCTTTATGCATCAAAAGTATTCCTTTTCGCAAGTTATTTTACAAAAACGAAATTGGAAATAAAGGGAAAGATAAAAAATGGTTTTATTTGCCGAAATATGTGTACATTACAATGATACATACCATAATGGACGTTTACCATAAATGTACAGTAACGTTTGTTTTTTCAACATGCTTATTCATGACTGGTGTACGAATATTATTTAATTTTGTTATAATCTAGAGGTATATAGTTGGCGTTCCATAGTCGCTGCCTACCCCCGTGAGAGACAGGCGGGAAGTTATGTATGTACTATGTCTATATAATAAACATCAAGATGAAACAAGAATGTCAATAACAGTGAAATAATAACAGTTAATAGAAATAAGAAACAAAAATAATAGAATAGTTACATATTAAATAAACTTAAAATCGCGCACTACTCACATGAGTACACTGAGAAAAGCTCTACTAGTTTCGAACCACAGAAGGATTCTTCCTCATGAGCAGCGTGCGCGGTCGCGGCGATGTCACGCAGCCTACTGGATTAGTTACTATAGAAACATAGTTACATAACATCCTAACATCACGCCTTTTATCCCCGAAGGGGTAGGCAGAGGTGCACACAGAAGTAACAACACCCACTTTTCACTATTTATGTTATGAGTCCCTTGTAATAGGGGGTGAGCCTATTGCCATATACCGGGCACAATTCCAGACTCCGTGCTATTACTGAGATTTATTTTAAACCCAGTAATGCCTTGCCCGACCCGGGAATCAAATCCGAGACCCCTTGTCTAGTAGTCGCACTTGCGACCACTCGGCTAACGAGGCGGTCAGATGAGAAACATAGTTACATATTGTTAAAGTGTTACAATTTAAATATCATTCCGTTCAGTCACATTTGTCACTAAAGAATTCGTGAACATTATGGTAACATTTTTGATGGATTTGTTTACAAGTTCCCTTCTACCCTTGAGCAAGAGAAGTTTATTTTTCTCTACATTTAACTAAGCAAATTACCTACATTAAGGTTATAACTAAAATTACACAAGTAAAGTTTCAAGAACTTTTAACTAAATGATAAAAAATAAGACTACAAAACACGCCATGCCAATGGTATATTCAGTAAAAAAAATAATTTATGCGTTTGATGAAATCCAGGAAGTGTAACGGGATACACGAACATTGATACCAGGGAAGTTAGCTTGACCACATCCATAACCGAAGGAGCAGACACCAACAACGATACCATTGTGGTAGAGAGGACCGCCAGAGTCACGCTGGCACTGGGCGCGACCACCAGAGGGCCAACCAGAGCACAACATGTTGTCGTTGACATTAAAGCCAACAGCAGCGTAGTTGTTTCTGCAAGTGTTCTGGTTGATAACTACTAACTGGACGTGACGAAGCTGTTCAGAGCCGGCGCCAGAACCGGACTAAAAATAAAGAGAGAAATATAAAGAATCAGAACGATAATACCAATGAGTCCATTTTCAGTTCAATCAAGACTCTCTCACGAAACTCACGAAAGTGTCGCCCCATCCAGCAGCCCAGACAGCTTGATTGTCACTAGGCCAGTAGTTGGCACCAGCAATGGAAGCAGCGCGGACATTATTGTTGAAAAAGAAAGTGGAGGCGGAACGGAGGATGGCGATGTCACTGTCGAAAGTCCAGGTGTTGTATGACCCGTGGATGATGATCTGGTTTACATTGTGAAGAGCACCACCACTGCTACGGAACGATGAGCCTAGGCGAATTCTAAATCTGTTAGCTGTTTGGCCTCTGTGAAAATGAAAACCAGGAATGAATCCGACAAAGAGAACATTAAAACATAAAAAAATGCATTTGTCTTGGCTATAGTTAGTTGACGTTACTGATAAATGTATATATTTTGTTGGAATACTAATATTGCTTAACTCGTCGAGTACCGGTTTTGTAGACACAATTATAGAACAATAGGTTGCGGTCACCGGTGACCGCTTGGTGTTTGACAGTTTAATAATCTTAAAAATTCGAATTCACATATGGACTTGCTAATGTTGACAAATTACATATAACTACTTACGCTACACAATGAGCAGCAGTGAGAATGGATCGATTGTTTAAAATAGTGCCGCCGCAATTGTGCAGGAAATTTACCCAATCAGGTGTAAATAAGACTGCAGCAACTGTGGGATACCGATCTATGGTGACGACCGACCCACCCACAATCCTCTGAGAGTCGGAGGGGACCGCTAAAATGATAGAAATATTCAAATTGTAAAACAAAACCGATAAAGTAGTAACAGTATAAAATTATGAAGATTGATAGCAATCAAAATTATCAACTCATAGAGATATACATGACAGACATACCTGCGACGGCCACAAAGCAAAGAGCTATCAAAGCGAGAATACGCATTGTGCTGATTACTCCACCACGAATGTTGCAATCAGACCCACACATATCGTATTTATACGATTACAAACATTCATCACAAATAGATAAAATGGTGGTAAACGTTGCCAATTCTTTAGAGCGAAATAAAGAAGTTTACTCAATGGGTTCAAATTGTATCAATTAATCCTATTATCTACAACGTTCTTTGCAATTTTTAATGTAGTTTTCAAGTTTGATGGTAGAGTTTCCATAAGCAATCGCACCAATATTCCCTAAGTTTTGTGAAATGGTTGACCCTAGGTTTTTCTCATAAAACATAACATCACGCCTTTTATCTCCGAAGGGCTAAGCAGAGTTGCACATTACGGCAATTAATGCCTCATTATAATGTAACACCCAATTTTCACTATTTTATGTTATGAGCCTCATGACTTAGGGGATGAGCCTATTGCCATATACCACAACAATAATTCTAAACTCTGAGCTACTACTAACAATTTTTAAAGTAATTACTTTGCCCGGCCCGGGATTCGACCCGAGGCCCCTTGCCCGGCAGTCACACTTGCGACCACTCGGCCAACGACGACGAACAACAAATCACCTACAACCAAAACCTGCGGGCATGGCGGAACGGTATCGGTTCAGAAAAAGAAGACAGAATGATGACGAAAGCGTAACACAATATCTGAGTGCCAAGCAAGAATTACTATCGCATTTGTAACGTAATAGTACTTTTTTATGACAGGCCGGTAAACGAGCAGACGTATCACCTGATGGTAAGCAATCGGCGTCGCCCATGGACATCTGGAACACCAGAGGCGTTACAAGTGCGTTACCGGCCTTTTGGGGATTAGAAGTTTGAGGATCGTTGGGGATTCAGGAATTGCGGAGATTGGGGAAAGGGAGGGTAATTGGGCCTCCGGTAACCTCACTCACACGACGAAACACAACGTAAGCGTTGCTTCACGTCGGTTTTTGGTGAGGCCGTGGTATCACTCCGGTCGAGCCGGCCCATTCGTGCCGAAGCATGGGTCTCCCACACTTAAATCGAGTAGTATCGAGCGCGTTCAGCACTTCAGACCAAGTTAAAGTATCATCAACTTGTAACACGCGTATACTGCAAACTAACGGTTACAATTCTGTATGCTTATTTAAATACGTGATCTTACATAACAATTTTCTTATGTGGGTTATCCTAAATATATTACAGTAAATCTCTTTTTTAAATACTAATATGATTGAATTCAGTCCCTTATAGTTACGACATAGATATTATTTATACCTATTGATACTTTTTATCTACATTCAATGATTTATCATTGGATCCTAAATGTTATTTCCATACAAGAACTTTATCGCGACCAAAACAGTGATTATCAAAAAGTGTAAAAAACCTGGTGACGCTATTAAGATTATCTTAAATGGGTTTTCTTTTTGAAATAGACCTAATTAATACAAATTTAATAATCAAATAGGAAAGTTACCTTAGCATTTTGAAACAATATCAAAATTAAAAAAAAAATAATGATAACGGTTTATTTGTAACGTAGACAAGAAACAACAAAACATAGATAAAAGTTATAGATACTGAATTACTGACATTATGTAATTCATTAAATAAAATTGTCAAATTTAAATTTCATATGACATTTAATATTAAAACAAGACAATCTTATGCATTTGCAGAGATCCAAGATGAGAAACGGGATACACGAGCGCTAACACCTGCATAATTAGGGTCAGCACATCGCATGCCAAAGGAAGTGACACCAACAACGACCCCATTATGATACAGGAGATCACTAGAGTCACGTTGGCAAGTATCACGACTACCGTTGGGCCAGCCAGAACATATCATGTTGTCGTTAACTGAGTAGAAAGAATTTTCGTACTGACGTCTGCATATCTCCTGGTTGATAACTACCATCTGAACGTGATGGAGTTGCTCGGAGCCAGCAGTTTCCACTGCTGGCTCCGAGCCAGCTCCCAGACTGAAATAAAATAAAAAACAAATTTTATTTATTTACTTATTTTCTACTTAATATAAGAAATGTGAATAGGCGGACCGCGGAGGTGCCTCGGGCATTGTCTCCCAGTCAAACCTTAAGTAGTGCAGAGATGATTATACGATATTTGAAACGTTTAAAAAAGCTGATGACGTGACCATTTCAAAACTTACGTAAGTGTCGCCCTATCCAGCAGCCAAGACAGCTTGATTGTCACCGGGCCAGTAGTTAGCACCAGCGATAGAAGCAGCGCGGACGTTGTTGTTAAAGGTGAGGGTGGTGGCAGAACGGAGGATGGCGATGTCACTTTCAAAAGTCCAGGCGTTGTATGACCCGTGGATGATATTCTGGTTAACATTGTGAAGAATACCACCACTGCCACGGAACGATGAGCCCAGACGGAGTCTAAATCTGTTAGCACTATAGCCTCTATGAAAATAAAAACCATGAATTAATCTGATAATACGAGTGTAAGTACATTAAAACCTAAGAAATACATTTCTCTTCGCTATAGTTAGTTGACATTCCTGATCAGTGTGTGTACAAAATCAGTAAATAATTAAATTAATAAGCTACTTATATTGCATTATTTTGTTAGAATATTACCTCTATTGCTTAAATCATTGTGTATACAATATTTATGTTTAAAGTAAAAAAATCCAATTGACGGACGATCTTGTGAAAGTTGACAAATTACATATACTTACGCTGTACTATAATGAGCAGCAGTGAGAACGGATCGATTGTTTAAAATAGTGTCGCCGCAAGTGTGCCTGAAATTTACCCAATCATATGTAATTAAAAGTGCAGCAATTGTGGGATACCTATCTATGGTGACGGCCGACCCACCCACAATACTCTGAGGGTCAGAGGGAACCGCTAAAATAAAAATATTCAAATTATACAACAACAAAGAAATAGTGATAACAAAATAAAAATACATATTAAGATTGATAGTAATCAAAATTATCAAATCATTCTCTATGATTTGATAATTTGATACCACCATGAACACCATGACCATACCTGCGACGGCTGTAAAGCAAAGGGCTATCAAAGCAAGAATACGCGTTGTGCTACTCCACTACGAATGTAGTAATCAGAGCCACACATAATTATCGAATTTATACGATTTCAATCATTCATCACAAATAGATAAATCGGTAGTTGCATAAAAAAAATTTAAACTCTCAAGTTTCGAGAGATAAACTTATAAAAAGTGTCACGCCATCCAGCAGCCCATATAGCGTGGTTAGAAACGACGTTATAATTGGAGACAGCGTGGACACTGTTGTTAAAGCAAAAACCGATAGCGGAGCGGAGAATGGCAATGTCACAGTCCATGGTCCATGGGTTGTATGCAAGGTGGATGATATTTAAGTTAACGTTGTGAACACTACTTCGGAAAAAGGAATTTACGCGAATTCTAAACTGGCGAGGGGCATTATCACTGTTATAATAATAGTCAAGAAAATCAATTCATAATCTAATCCAAAGGAACAAATAGATTTTCAAAATACCTATTGATGACAAATAAAAAATAAGTTCGCTTAAAATGTTAATGAAAAGACCACTTACTTAGCACAATGAGCTGTAGGATTACGGACTAGAGCCTGTAGTTCCCAAGCTCTAGTTTTAGACGTAAAAAAAGGGTTTTCTTCATTTCAATTAAACCCAATATAATACCTTAAACACCTTTACAGCATATATTATGTATCCAAAGTATCAAAAAGGTAACGTATTTAGTTCCTTATAGTTGTGACATAATGTAGAATGTGTTATTTTTATCTACACCCAATAATAACGTTATGATATCTAGAAAATTATTTTCATACAAGAATATAATCACCCCTAAAGTGATTATCACAAGATCAGTAAAAAAACCAGATTGTTTAGTGACGATACTTTTGACGCGTTTTCTCACTAAGTACTGGTGACCGAAAATGAGCAATTTTTCCTATACAGACTAATAAACTCTTTGATTTGTACGTTTCATGGGTTAGTTGAAATAATTAACTGCATTGTGCTTACTGCGTTTCTTATATCTGAATATCTTCTTGAGAATAAACCAAATTAAAAAAGCCTAATGAAAATTTCATTGCTCATCTATCTTGTATTGTCATTATCCTATATCCTATCATAGCAGACTCTACTTGAGGGTTACAGTTCCGTCAATATTATTTTGGAACACAATAATTGATGACAGTTTAGATTATACTTATATTGATAATGCAAATATATTCTCTAATTTCACAAAGAAAGGTATCTCAACAAATTGAGCATTGCTAGTTTTTTGAACAAGATAAAACAATCAAAATAATTAAGAATTATTTTATAAAATATTTAAGTATAATAATTTTATGCGTTAACTGTGATCCAAGAGGAATAACGAGATACACGAGCGTTCACTCCAGGGAACTTAGCATCACCACAGCCAATACCAAAAGAACAGACACCAACAACCACACCATTGTGGTAGAGAGGACCACCAGAGTCACGTTGGCACTGGTCGCGACCACCAGAGGGCCAGCCAGAGCACAACATGTTGTCGGTGATTGAGTAGATAGTGTTGGCGTGCTGGTTTCTGCAAGTGTTTTGGTTGATAACTACAACCTGGACGTGACGGAGCTGCTCGGAGCCAGTCAATGACCCGGACTGAAAAATAAACATTTTTAATAATAATAAGTTGTCAATATTTTAATCTACAAATTTAGAAAAATTGAGAGATGTGAGAAGTGATATTTAAATGAACTTACGAAAGTGTCGCCCCATCCAGCTGCCCAGACAGCTTGGTTGTCACCAGGGAAGTAGTTGGCACCAGCGATTGACGCAGCGCGGACATTGTTGTTGAACGAAAAAGCGGTGGCGGAGCGGAGTATAGCAATGTCATTATCAAAAGTTCTAAAGTTGTATGCAGGGTGCATAATGTTTTGAATAGCGTTGTGAACAACACCGCCGCTACTACGAAAAGACGAACCTACACGGATTTTTAATTGGCCTGGTGCAACACCGCTGTAAAAGAAAAATACTCAATTAAACATCATTTTATCTAAACAGACTTACACGATTAGTCAGTTTAGACGTTAAATTATTTCAAGGGAATGTTTGATGCACAGTCCACTTAGACTTTGAAAGTTAATGAAAAGGAAACAAGCAAAAGTTTAATCTTCTTACTCGAGACAGTGAGCAGCGGTGAGAACGGATCGATTGTTTAAGATGGTGCTCCCACAAATATGTTCAAAAGAGACCCAATTAAATGCATACAAAATTGCAGCGATAGTGGGATACTGATCGATTGTAGTGACAGAACCTCCCATAATCCGTTGACCTCTGGAGGGGACCGCTGGAAACAGATAAATGTTCAATCTCAAAGACCTACATATACCAAATACCGTAATAAAAGTAATGACAACAGTTATTAAATTACGCCAACAACTTAAAAAAGTAATGGTGATAAAAATATGGTAGGATAAAAATCTAACTAAAAACCGCACGTGAATATACTGATACGCTGCGCCGCGACAGCGCATGCTGCTTATGAGAAACAACCCCTCTGTGGTTCGAATCTAGTAGAGTTTTTCTCAGTATATTCACGTGAGAAACCGGCGATTTTTAGTTAATTTAGAATGTCTCACGATAGTTATTATTGTTTAAAAAGTACCTGCTACGGTCACGAAGCAAAGTGCTACCAAAGCAAGAATACGCATGTTGTTAGTTATGGACGAGAACGTGGGCACAATTATTATAATCAGTTCCGGGTTGACTGTTTTTATACCAATATCGACGCAAATTTTGACTACCGAAAATTCACATGTAGGTACCTATACACTCAGGTATCTATTGATAAAAGGATACACTTATTTCACAAACCACATATGTATTTTGAAATGCTCCATAAAGCTACTCACCTACTTTTGAGACATTAATTTATCTTCTACATATGTATAAATTATGTATGCCTCGTTGGCCGAGTGGTCGCAAGTGCGACTGCTGGGCAAGAGATCTCGGGTTCGATTACCGGGTCGGGCAAAGTATGGGTTACTGGGTTTTTAACAAATTCTCAGTGGTAGCACGGAGTCTGGAATTGTGTCCGAAATATGGCAATAGGCTCACTCACTATTACATGGGATATCCCATTTATCGAGAAAATTGTAAAATATCACCTTACAAACAATGAAAACCAAGCACAGTGGGTGAACCCTCGGAGTAGCTACATTTACGTAATTTTAAAATAAACAGTATGTAAAAAAATCTAGTGAATGGATAAAGAAAAGGTAGATGATAAACTTTGCGAAGTTAAAATTGATGGGAACTGTATAGGGTTGTCGAAATTAGGTACTTGCACCAAAGAATACACTTTCCATATAAAGATATATCTTAGAAAATATAAACTACTTAACATTATTTTTTAGATCTTTAATAGGTATCTACTCTTTTCATATACGGAACGAAGTTTTTGTACCTACCAAGGAAATTATCGCGACCTAAACAATATTTAATCAGGATATCAACAAAATATACCTATTTTTAACTGTACTTATCTTTTTCTATTTATTTAGGTATCTACGTTTTTGGGGTTTTCATATAGGTACTGATTCTATGTAAACGTAGAAAATCCGAATTAATTTGTGTCTAATTATGGTTTTTCAGTCCATTAACACTTAGTGTCAAATGGCTTGCACTATATTCTAGTACCTATGGCTCTTTACTTTCGTTGATGCATTTTTTATTACAATCTTTTTAAATGAATTTACAGTGTTATTCTAAATTCACCAACAATTACTAACATCATTAACAACAATTTTTGTTCAACGATTTTTTGAAATTCTTCAGACTTTAAGTTGAAATTTTTTTAATATAAAATTACGGGACCTACCCACATTAAGTTTTCATTCAGAAGTACTTAACCTCTAAGAGTATTTACAAAAATGTAAGTGTTCACCAGTTTAGGGATCAAACCCGAATTTTTAAGCTCAACAACTACATTATAACTAATTGTGCTACAAATCCGGATAACAGAAAATTTTAAGTAATGTAGGGTTCAAATTTTCACATTTTTATTCATGACGAAGTAATCTCTCTGTTTTTGAATAATTGAGGTAAACCATTGATATATCTTCTTGTGGAAATTAAGCTAAACAGCACAGCGCAAAAGTAAAGGCACTCTCTGCAGGAGTAGACGTTACGTAGTACGTAGTAGACGTATATATGCATATGTGCATATCTACGTATGTATTACTAATGAAATGTAATCAATTTATGGCGATCGCGTATGAAGGTAGTGCGAGCATGAGCTCACAGATGTCGCTTAACACAATTTATCAGATGGCGCTAAGATAAACAAATAAAATCATTTTGATAAGGACAAGTAAATCCTATATCACGGAAACAAAGTTTTGGCCACAAATTAGTGCGGACACCAATGCTCAACATACATTTTTTGGACAGTTGTTCTCAAGGTATGATCAGCGAGTCTGGACAGAATCCTCCTTTTTCGAAAATCAAGTTACGTTCATACCCTGTTCCCGAAAAATCAGTTACTGTAAAACTGAGCTGATGCTCTACTACTTGGATGTTAAGAATTCTTAAATAGAAAATGTTTTTATTTAAAGGGTAGTTTTATCAGAATATAGATTGAACGCGAATACCTATTAGTATCATGGTTTGATTGAGTAATTTTACGCAAACTTAGAGTAACTATAATCTTAGCGATAATTCCAGCTCATATTACGTGGAGTTCACTAGGTATCTGGCTGGGAAATGGTGATTATTTTTTTTTAAATCCCTGCCTATCTACTCCTTTTTAAAACAAAACATGTGATATTTTTATCTTATAAAAAGAAAAAAGGGCCCGAGACCAGAGCCATTTAGTTCTAAAATACGAAAGAAACCTGTGTTAATACAAAATAGCGGTTACACAATTTTTATCGGATTAGCACATGTAATTAGTGTTCATCCACTTTAATTGTTTTATCGAAACAATTATTGCTGATAATTTCACCTATTAAACTGATAAATAATTGTAATCAAGGTATATCCCCAACTGTAGTACTTAATTAATGGATTTCAATATAGTTAATAATGGTGAATTAAGCTTAATCTGTTCCTGGTAGGACCTTGCGTCCTATGGTAGTCAATTGTAGTCAATATGGTAGTCCATAGGACGAATAAACCCCTTTTTTTAAGGGGGGAAAATCATCGAATGACTGCTCCTGCCTGGGTGAGGCGGGAGGGAGTGTTAGACTCTTACTGACTAAAAACCACCCCATTCCTTCTCCTGCACGTCGAGTCGGAGCCCCGGTTACCTTAAGACTACTGTAGGTTACAATTTTTGTTACGTTTATTTGCTTCTAGATGTCACCGTTAAGTCTTTAACTGCCGACAAAAACTATTAACTTGTTGAGTACCGTCATTATAGACACAATTATAGAACAATAGGTTGCGGTCACCGGTGACCGCTTGGTGTTTGACGGTTTAAAGGCCAATCCTCCGCTAGCGTCGGACATCATTGTCCGATACGGCATCCAATGTGTTCAGTTACCATTATACAATAGGCGACAAAATTCCTGTGACACTTGTCGCCAGCCACGTTGAGTGAAATAGTGTGACGTTACCGGACTTTGGTCGACATGCCTGGCAAGGTATCAACTCGCGGGCTGTCGCCATATATGTAAGATGAAATCAACCGGCATCGTTTAACACGTCACCGATACATGTCGTGCGACATTTGTCTCCTAGTGTTTTCTTAGCTTTTACGAAGGTCAAACATCTTGATAATCAGAAAATTGACACTATTTCAAGAAGGATGGCGTGGGACAACGCTTGCATTGTGTATCGCCGTGTGACTGAAGTTAATAGAGATTCGTCCTTCCCCAATCCTCAAATCCTCAAAACTCTAGCAACTTACGTATTATTACTCCTCCGGTCATATGCGAGACGCATGTCGTCATTGGGGCTATAAAGCTCAACAATCAGTATACCTTAGACACCATCTCAGCATCCTTGCAATTTCTTACTAATGACTTGAATCATACCTTTGTACCGGAAGCCCAATCCCCCCGCTTCCCCAATCTCTGAATCCCCAACAATCCTCAAATTCCTAATCCCAAAAGACAACTGTAACGCCTCTAGTGTTTCAGTTGTCCATGGATGACGCCGATTGCTTGTGGATTGTGATCCGTCTGCACGTTTACCGGATTATCCCATAAAAAAACTAAATCAACTTAAAGAGTAAAGCCAAGTTAGAAACCTAATTGAAAAGATAATATACACTTCAAAATTAAGGTATAGCTGTCAAGACGGTTTAAAGTAGGTCAGTATACGGTATTATTTTCTCCCAAATTTTCCCCAATTGATTTGGGGTCACCCCAGTCTTATGGTATGGACAGGTTCTTATATTATCTCATTGCCCGACTTTAGACTTTGAACCCTGGCTTATCGTAAAGTTTACCCTAATAGAACACACTTGTTGAAATTGATCATGTTCAAAAAGCGTAGCTTTAATTGGCTGTCGGAGTAAAAAAAAACTATTTAAAACCCGCCGCACGAGTAACTCGCAGTTTTTAGTTAATTTAGTATGTCTCACGATACTTATTATAAAAATTTAAAACCGCCGAAGTCGAATCTGAAACCTTTTATTTATGGAATAGGAGGCAAACGAGCAGACGGATCACCTGATGGTAAGCGATCAGCACCGCCCATATACACACGAAACACCAGAGAAGACACAGGTGCGTTGCCAGCCTTTTAAAAAGGAATACGCTCTCTTCTTGAAGGTTTAAAGGTCGTATCGGTTCGGAAATACCGCCGACGACAGATCATTTCACAGTTTTGCTGTGCGAGGCACAAAGCTACGTGAGAAGCGCACAGTTGTGGTCTGCCAACCATCTATATGGTGGGGATGTATGCATATACATCCCCACCCTCACCAAAGCATTTTGGTGAGGGTCGATGGCGGAAAGATGCGGCAGGTATCCGGTCAAACAATTCCTCAGAGAAAATGCACAACGAAGCTACATCTTTACGCATTGTCAAAGTGTCTAGCCGGTTTGAAGAATATTCAGTTACAAGATTAACACTACATGGAAACATTTTAAACTTGTGAGATAGCGTCGACTTAAGACACTTTACACGAAATCAGACCAAAATCTCCAGTATCCAAATTCATCGATAGCTACTTAAACAGTCGAAATCAGGATTTTCCTTTTGCTTAATTTGCTAGAAATCACTACATTAAACTATAAGTCATCATCAAATTTGTTTTCTAAACAAACAAAATAATACACACACTCCATTTAAATAAAATTATCCATTAAATTTTCAACTTTTAACAGTCTATTCCATTTAAATACAAAAATTAATACGTCCCAATATTTTGACTAGTTTTGTTATATAAAATAATCTTGTAATCTTGTCACTAATCTGTATCATGTCCTAGTATTTTACTTCGATAAGTTCTACAATCAGGAGTCATTATCTAATTATCTGTATTATGATATTATCAAAATATTAAAACAGGAAAAACAAAATATAAAAATGAACTGTTGCTATAAACAATAAAAAAATGAGTTCGTGTTTTCCCAAACGCGACGATAAGTCATTCGATCCGTTTAATAAAAACCGTGCTAACATTTTCTTTTATATTTTTATATGCATTTTTTTTATGAGGGGAAAATCATCGAATTACTTCTCCCGTCTGGATAAGGCGGGAGGGAGTGTCAGACTCTT